AAAAAAAAAAAAAAAAAAAGAAACTATAAATCACAATGAACCTGACAGACGCCACCCTAACCATATGATCACAGTCAGCACTACCAACAACAAGTAACACCGACATCACGGAACTCCTTATACAGTGCGATGTGAAGGGCATATCACCTATGGGGCATTCTCCCCCAAATCCACAACCTCAGTCTAATTATCAGAAAAGAAATGACCCCAACTTGACAGACATTCTACAAAACACTTGATCATTATTCTTCAAAACTGTCAAGGTCACAAAAGACAGGACAGACCAAGAAACTGTCATATATTGGAGGAGCCTAAGGAGACATGACAGTTTTAAATGCAATGTGGTGCCCTGGATGGGAGCCTGGAACAGAAAAAGAACATCAATGGAAGATGTGCAATCCAAGTAAAATCTGTAATTTAGTTAACAGTATTGTACCAATGCCAATTTTAATTTCTTGGTTTTGATAAATGTATCACGTTTATTTAAGACGTAAACGTTAGAGAAGGATTTCTTGACCTCTCCACTACTGATGTTTTGAAGCAGGTAATTCTTTGCCGTGGGGGCTGTTCTGTGCAGTGTAGGGTGGTTAAAACCGTCCCTGGCCTCTACCCCAAGATGTCAGTAGCATCCCCTGCCCACCAAGTCATGACAACCAAAAATATCTCTAGACATTGTAAAAGGCACCTTGGGGGCAAAATCACCCCTGGTTAAGAGTCACAGCATGAGAAGTTGGGCAAAAGGTATAAGGGAACTCTCTGCTATCTTTACAACTCTTCTGTAAATCTAAAGTAATTTCAACATAAAAAGCTTAAAGACAGGCCGGGCGCGGTGGCTCACGCCTGTAATCCTAGCTCTCTGGGAGGCCGAGGTGGGCGGATTGTTTGAGCTCAGGAGTTCAAGACCAACCTGAGTAAGAGCGAGACCTCGTCTCTACTAAAACTAGAAAGAAATTAATCGCACAACTAAAAATATATAGAAAAAATTAGCCGGGCATGGTGGCGCATGCCTGTAGTCCCAGCTACTCGGGAGGCTGA